AGATGATGTGCTCTGAGTCTGAAGGCAAAGTCAAAATTGTTGAAGTCATTTTTCCAGTTTACATGGTTTGTGTGTTTGAGTCCGTCTCTCTTGTTGTGTGGAGGTGACCTTCTATGTGACATGGTCTGCTATGTCCGCTACATGCAGCTACAAGTGGTGTTACGTTAGTTGTGAATTCCAGCAGTCACCTAACAACACGGTGACTGGCTATACTCAATTATCTCCTAGTGTTTCAAACAGTCGAGAATAGAACACCAGCTGGAGATGGTGAAATAATGTTTGTACCACCGAGGCAGGCTGAGGTTTGTGGCCTAACCGGAACGCAACTGTCGACATACATTGGTGGACGCTTTTTCACAAGTTTCGTCTACAATGTAGTCGACATTCTGATGGCGATCAAGCGGCGACTGGGAGTGGGTAATATTTCCCCAAACAACCCGTACAGTCCACACATTCTGTTTGGCAAACGACTGGGATTGGTCAGCAGTTTATCAGCTCGGTGATCTGGTGATACAACTTTCGGTAAGTACCCGTACTCGCTGTGATGGTGAAGTGTGAAACGTGTGTGTGTGTGTGTGTGTGTGCGCGCGCGTGTGTGTATGTGTGTGTGTATGTGTGTGTGTGTGTGTGTGTGTGTCTGGCAAAAGTACTGTCTGATGCATAGTGGTATTGTGTTGTAAAGATGTTATGCAGTTGCGGAAACAGTCGTATGTATCTTTGAACTCCAACAAAACTCCACTATTTCTATATGGAAATAAGCGGGTCTGAGAGAACCCAAACCCCACATAAATTTCCTAATGGTGGAGACCATACAACATTGCTATGCAAGGGAGACAGATACTGGTCACGTGACAGACTGTGTCTCAACTGTATTCCTAGGAGTGCACCCGGCAGAAAGCAATAGAGACAGACAGATGGTCTCGTGACATGTCTACAGCAGTTTGTACCCAACCTGTGGGAGATAGTGGCATCACTCACTCATCACCTGTACAATGACTGGCACTTGTCTAGCATGCCATGCCAAGTAACTGCTTCTATTCGAAGTTATTTGCAGAGAGATAGATAGATAGATAGATAGAGAGAGAGAGAGAGAGAGAGAGAGAGAGATAGAGAGAGAGAGAGAGAGAGAGGGGGGGGGAGGGGAGAGGGGGAGAGGGAGTGGGAGGGAGGGAGCTGAATAGCGCGGTTTACAATGTAGTGGTTATTAACAGGAGACATTGATATGTCATGTAATAGAGTCCTGAGATAGCTTCGAACTGTTGGTGTCAAGAAATAGAATGATCACGGAAGAGGCACTGACTAAGCTCACCATGTACATGCAAATGATATTGTATTGGCTGGGGTAATCGTAGCACGCACATCAGCAGAGATACATGTACAGCAAATAGCAACAAGAATATCGCGAGTCGCCCAGTTCGGCACTCTTTCAGCTATTCTTGTGGATCTCAACCAGATCGAGCATAACAGCATTGGAGACAAGAATCGGGGCATGGACCGAAACAGCCAAGAGCAATTCAATTTGTACATCAGCATCATTTAGCGCAGGATACACACATGGTAGTTGAAGTTGCCCGTCCACCTTCCCATGCTACTTCAACATAAATGTGTGTTCAACTACCACGAGGAAACAAAAACCATGATGGCAGGCCCCTATGAAGTTGCGCAGAACAAGAGCTACTGCTCGAAAATGCTTGTGAGTGAAGAACTTTTTACATTCTTTGGCTAAGCTCAGCCGTGAAAAACAAAACAAACGACATAATAACCTATGCGGAATGACGGAACAAGTTCCCAGCACACTTGGGTAGCATGGAAAATGATTTTTTGGAGAGCGTACAAAGCGGGATGCACGCACCTGCACGCACATCACACGGCATGTTGATATACCGCAGCACTGTCATTAGGAAAACTGCCATTCTGTCGTGCTGTGGTGTTTCAAGAAGAAGGGAAATCCCCCGGGATGGGTACCTTGCCTCTCCGCGAATGAATTATGACATGTGAATGTGCTGGATGGATTTGCGCCTTTCCGCATCGGCGTGTGTCAACGTCAATAAGTCCTAAATGGATTGGTTAAGTGTGGACATATTTGACACATTGAAGTGTAGCCTTTTTCTGAGTATTATGGCATTCTTGTCGAAGAGGAAACTGTTCACAAATTTGACACATGCATGAACACATGCATGTATCCTGTCTGACTCATTTCTTCTACGCAGGCATTTAAACATCCATCCGAAGAGCATTGACGGAAACTTTGTGGCTGCTGGAATTTGGCAAGACATGGGTCGCCGTGGAAAAGCAATCGAGTTACTCCAGTAGGTATTGAATGTCACTAGGTCATGGTTTGGTAGTTCTAGCTATTTTACAACATTGACGTGGCTTGGATTTTTTCCTTTTCTCTCCGTCTGTCTAATGTATCTTGGGTGGGTGCTTGTCTAATGTATCTTGGGTGGATGCTTGTCTAATGCATCTTGGGTGGGTTAGCCAGCCACCCACCCAAGATGCACTAGACAAGGCTTGTCTAATGCATCTTGGGTGGGTGGCTGGCTATTATATCTTGGGTGCGTAGTTGACAAAGTGGTTAGAGCATTGAACGTTCACACGATTATCACCGTCACGCGATTGTGGGTTTGACTTCTAAGGTGACACGTGGGAGAAAAGATCAGCACTGCCCTCACTGAGTACGTTCAATTACGCCTGTTAATCGATTCGTGAATGGAATATGGTTCATTCAAGTTGTTCGATTCTCATGTCATGAGCCCTGGAATCGGTTTGGAATCCATTCAAATTGTTCACATGGGGTGATGGGAATAACCAAGGGTGATTCATAAATGGATTCAACATCGATTCGTGGGCATAATCGAGCACCCATACTATGTGGAGGTCTTCCAGTGAAGCAAGGCTTCTCTAACACATCCTGTCCCTACGGATAGGATTCGCTGTGGGCTACCATTACCCTTTTCTACTGTCTCTTTCTCCAGCTGTCCTCATGTGTACGGTGTGTGTGCATGTGTGTGTGTGTGTGTGTGTGTATGTGTGTACACATGTATATATGTATGTGTGTGTGTGTGTGTGTGTGTGTGTGTATGTGTATGTGTGTGTGTACACATGTGTGTGTGTGTGTATGTGTGTACACGTATATATGTATGTGTGTGTGTGTGTGTGTGTGTGTATGTGTTACAGACGTGTTGTTGCCGTGTCCCCTCGTGATGGTGATGCCCTGTACAACCTCGCTACACTCTATGCTGAGGAAGGACACAAGAAGAAGGCAGTGAGTAACATGACTTGTCCGCATTGGGATACAACCATAATGTTCATTTCCCAGGACTAGGAAAACTTCATATCCTCAGTACCGTTATCTTCAGGCTGCCCGCTTTGGAGCCAACAGTTGCCTGATGATCGTGACTGTGTGAAACTCGGAGTTGCAACGCAGCTCCCCCCCCCACACTCTCTCTCTCCTGTATCCTCGGTACTGTAGTACGATTAATTTCAGCGGTTAGAATTTGACTAAGAAAGTGGTGGACATCATGCAACTGCATTATAAAGAAAAGGGGGGGGGGGGTGTCAACTGACAACCGCTCTGATGATGGGTGACTGCTCTGAAACGTCACAATTTTTTCGACGTCACAAAATAATAAAGAATTTGTTAACCTGCGCATGCGCGGAGTGTGAATAGAGCGGTTGTCAGTTGACCAACCCCTTTTCTTTTTTTCCTTTTCCTTTTCTTTCTTTGGACCAATTGGAAATGAAGTATATTAGCGATCCGAGTTTCAAAATTCGAAAACTTCACCAGTACTGTGCTGGATATGCAAATTTCGATTGGCGTAGTATATTGTTTGCAAAAACACTCCTTTCGCTAAAACCACTAAAATATCACCGGCGCTAAAATTAGCCGTGTGAAAGTACTCCGTTTCCTGTGCTGCAGAAAGTATTGAAAAATGCAGTGCATGGATGGATGATGTGTGGATTTCTTGGTGACTGAGATATAGCGAGGACACGGCTTGTTGTGATCTCCTCAGACCTGCATGCTGTGATCTCCACAGACCTGCATGTTGTGAAAGTTCGGCTAGGAGAGTGCACCCATCCTTCACATTGGCCTCATGCCGTCTTTTCTCTCTGTCTGTCTCTCTCTCTGTTTCTCTCTCTCTCTCTGTCTCTCTCTCTCTGTCTCTCTCTCTCTCTCTCTCTCTCTCTCTCTCTCTCTCTCTCTCTCTCTCTCTCTCTCTCTCTCTCTCTCTCTCTCTCTCTCTCTCTCTCTCTCTCTCTCTCTCTCTCTCTCTCTCTCTCTCTCTCTCTCTCTCTCTCTCTCTCTCTCTCTCTCTCTCTCTCTCTCTCTCTCTCTCTCTCTCTCTCTCTCTTTCTCTCTCTCACTCTCTCTCTCTCTCTCTCTCTCTCTCTCTCTCTCTCTCTCTCTCTCTCTCTCCCTCTCTCTTTCTCACCAACCAACCATGTCAAACCCACTTTTCTGACACTACCTGCTTTGAGTACTTCCAACACACATATGCAGACCAGGATCGTGCCACTTCGTACGAATCCTGCCCCAGTGCAGGGAAGCCCCGGGATTGCACCCACCCAGTCGATGAGGGGACCCCTACATGGACTGAATTTCAGAATGTTTTGAAGAAGTGTCGCAACACCTCTGCACCGAGTCCTGACAAGATACCTTACATAGTTTGGAAGCTTTGTCCCTCCCTTCAATCCATTCTTTTCACCATCTTTGGGTGGGTTTGGGAGAGCAAGATCATTCCAAGGCAGTGGCAGGTAGCGTGTATCACACTCCTGGCTAAGGGGGAGGTGTCTGATGATCCTTCAAAATTCCGACCGATTGCTCTAGCAAACACGTCCGGGAAGATCTTTTTCACCTTAGTTGCAAAGCGCCTCTTGAAACATATGCTAGGCAATAAGTTCTTCGATGGTGACAACCAGAAAGGATTTATGCCTGCAAAGGCTGGGTGCTTAGAGCATACATCACTTTGTTATGAGGCGATGCGTGATGCAAAGACGGCAAAACGCCAAATTTGCATTGCGTGGATAGATTTGAAGAATGCATTTGGTTCAGTGCGCCACAATCTGATACAGTATGCTCTAACTCACTACAGCCTTCCTTTGCAATTCAGGAAATTAATTTTTTCCTACTACGACAGTCTTTGCGCTTTCGTCGTACAACCACACACTCCCACCTTTAATTACAACATTGGTGTTTTCCAGGGGTGCCCCTTGTCCCCGGTCCTTTTCAATATTTGTTTCCAGCTTCTGCTGGACTCACTTGCAGCCCCTGAATTAAGTTGCCTCTCCTATGATTTTAAATCTGCCCCTTTGCAAGTGTCCCAAACAGCTTTTGCTGATGACTTAGGCCTCTATAGCAAATCTAGTGCAGGTTGTCAAAAACTCATTGCGGTCACGGAGGACTTTCTCTCGTGGACCCAATGTATGCAGGCGGCGGCGCACAAATGCAAAAGCAGTGCAGCAAAGCTTGTAGATGGCCGGTACAAACCTTACGATCCCTGCCTGACGATGTCAGGGAGGAAGATCACTTTCATTGACACTGCAGAGTTCAAGTTCCTGGGGCGAAGGCTGCATGCTGATTGCTCTGAGCAGACCCAGCGGGAAGACATCCGTCAACTCACTGTATCTCTCATGCAAAAAGTAGATGGCTCTTGGCTTCAAGACCACCACAAGCTATGGTTTTACCACCATCTTGTAGTGCCCAAGCTTTCTTGGTCTTTCCAGGTTCTTGAACTCACACAAGGTTTTGTACGTGAACTGCACTTTATGTGTTTACCATTTCTGAAGAAATGGTCAGGCCTACCTCGATGCGCAAACTCTGCCATTCTTTTTATTGGCAGTCGCAAACGCTTTGGCTTACGCCTCCACTACCTTCCTACGGTGTGGAAAAAGTGCCAGTCCATCAAATGGCACATTCTTCGATCGAGTGGGGACGCGCGCATGAGGGCGCTGTACACTCTGCGTCGGAGTAAGGATGCGAAGCTGACAAAGCGATATGCAGCGACAATAGAGCTGGAGTGTGCAGAGGCATCAGTAGGTTCAGGGACTCTTCGTCCACCGTCATCTTCAAGTCATTGTGCAGGGTTGGGTGCTCGTGCTCCGAAGCAGCATTCCAAACCCCCGAGGAAGGATCTCCTTCAAACATTTGAGGAGATCAACGCGCAGGAGCAGATTTTGAGGCTGAAGACTCTTCAGGTGCAAGGCAAGTGGTTGGAGTGGACATCGGTGATGTGGCAGGACCTCTCGTGGAAATCCCTTTTGTACGGTGGTACTGGTAAGGATTTGAAATTTCTTCTCGCATCAACCCTCGACGTGCTACCTTCTCCGACGAACCTACGCCGTTGGGGAAACACCGTAGTGGATCCGTACTGTAGTTTGTGCCGTGCCTGGGCCTGTACTACGCGCCACGTGCTTGGCGCTTGTCGCGTATACGCGTAGCGCTGGACCAGGGACGTTACACCTGGAGGCACGACAACGTAGATCTACTCGGGGTCATCGTCAGGAACATGCGTGAGGAGATTCGAATCCGCACTGCTGCAAACACCGTACAAACCGAAAATTCAAATGAACTTGACTTCATCTCGTTTTGCAAGGCGGGAGAGAAGCCAGTTCGCGTTCAGCCCAGACGGAAGTTGGTTACGACTGATCTCCTGTCAGCGGCCTCAGATTGGAAACTTCTTGTCGACTCAGTTAGTGCAAAGATTTCTTTCCCCAGCTGTGTTGCACTTACCACCCTAAGACCAGATTATAGTTCTGTACTCTACGAGTCGTAGGATTGTATTCTGGATGGAGTTGACAGTTTGTGCTGAGGACAGATTCAGTGTCAGTAACTCGCGGAAGGACAGGCGGTATTCGGATCTGGCCGATCAATGCCGAACAAACGGGTGGCAGGTCATTTCTTTTTCGGTTGAGGTAGGTGTGCGTGGTTTCATCCCGGACTCTCTTCGGAGGGCTCTGAAAGCGCTTGGGTTTTCTAATCGAAGAATAAAATGTATTTGTGCAGTAAGACGTCTCTGCGAAGCAGCTACATCATCTGGTTGCGACGTCAACAAAAACACTGGTCGGAAGATCCACTTTTCTGAGGTACTGTATGTGGGGCTCCGTTTATTGAGGTGCGTTGAAATTTATTCTCTTTAGGCCACACTGAAGAAGGTCTGTGGTTCGACTCACCCGACCGACCGTACATTTTTCAGCCCGACCGTAACTTTTTTTCGGCGGGCTGTCGTGTGACTGACGTAGATCTACGTGGACTGAACACGTCCACGTCTACGTGCTGTGCAGCGTGAGTCTGCGGACGCAGGCGGCTCCTTTTGCCAGTTTTGGACTTGACTTGTAAGTTGTAGTTGTACTGCAGTGCAGTGCAGTGAGTGGTAGATCTACGACTGCTGCCTTGTGCTGGTAGTAGAGTCTACTCGATACGACCACCGGCAGACTGGCGAGACTTATTTTGAAGTGACCGTCCGGTTGAGAGTGATTGCCTCGTTCCAGATTAAGGACGGCCTTCTGTTTTGGGATGAAGGACAGACGAGATTGCACTTTCCTCGTGTATTGGGAACGATATTATTTTCACCTGTACCGGTAAGTTGCTGCTCCATGTGTGCAAGCACAGGAAGCGTCGATGGAAAAAGCCCATGTATTCGTGCACGCCGACACCAAACTAGCAATACATGTACCGGTACATTGTACAATTTGTACTTCGAAGTAGTTCCCGAACTTACTTTCAACTCGCATCGTTCTTCATTTGCTTGATGATTTGGACAGTCAGAGTCACCGCTTGAAGTTATTCTCTTCTCGTTCCAGAGCTACACAATGTTTCAAAGTATTAGCCAGTGATCCCTTTATACAACATGTATGGCATAACACTGCCGATGTACTGGGTGTCTAAAGGCAGTACAGTGTATTTACATGTACTAAAAAATATATTAAAAAAAAAAAATCCGCCCGCCCGCCCGTAAAAAAAAAGTCCATGTTAGTCGAACCACACACCTTCTTTAGTTTGGCCTTATCTTATTATTTCTTTTCTATAATTTCCCCATATGAGTTCCTATCAGTTGCTGTGAACACCTTGAGTGGAGAGCGCTTGCTCGAGCGTTGAACCGGGTTCTTAATCCACCATACCCAGTTCGCAAGGCTGGGCGGGGTTGTGAGCAGGCTTTCATTTCATCTTTTCTTATTATTTCTTATTATTTCTGCTTTTCATCTCATTACAAAAATTCTGCGCATTTTTTCTCCATCTGCGCATAAAATCTAGACTGACAACCTGCTTGTTAAATCATGCACCTGCTTTCAGGCGTAAAAACCCTGTTGTAGAGGTCTCAGTCCTCATTTGTTAGACTTACCTGTCTTTATAAATGTAACTACTTCTCTCTCTCTCTCTCTCTCTCTCTCTCTCTCTCTCTCTCTCTCTCTCTCTCTCTCTCTCTCTCTCTCTCTCTCTCTCTCTCTCTCTCTCTCTCTCTCTCTCTCTCTCTCTCTCTCTCTCTCTCTCTCTCTCTCTCTCTCTCTCTCTCTCTCTCTCTCTCTCTCTCTCTCTCTCTCTCTCTCTCTCTCTCTCTCTCTCTCTCTCTCTCTCTCTCTCTCTCTCTCTCTCTCTCTCTCTCTCTCTCTCTCTCTCTCTCTCTTTCTGCCTGGCTGTACACAATAGGCAACATCACTGAAGAGTTTGGTGAAGTTCAATGCCAAGGATCATGGCGCCCATTCGTTCCTGGCTGAGTTGCTGACAGAACTCGGAGATGAGAAGGGTGCATCAGAACACCGGGACACTGCCGACAAGCTAAAGACAAGAATAAGAGAGTGATCTGAGAGTGATCTGAGAGTGATCTGAGAGTGGTCTGAGAGTCTATCTCTCATTGACTTTCACGGTTTCGGGTATCTTGGCGGACTCTCCACTTCTGTGATGATGGTACATCATTCATTGTTCCAATCCATCGTCACACTGATTTGTAGTAAAATGGTTATATTGAGAAGTGTAGCTATTCGAAGTTGTCCGTGTTCAGAGCGTGGGGTATACAGGTACTGCAAACACACTGGCGAATTGTTAAACTCGTTTGTGTATGAATTCCCTAACATTTGTACTGCAATATTCTAAACTCGTAAGGCCGCAAAGTTACACCTGGCACCAGTGATATCGTTCTGCAGCTGTCTGCCCTCACACCCGGCCACATATGCATTTGTATAATAGTGTACATTGTTTACAAAAACAGTTCGTTTCCCTGTCAGTTGTATGGGTACTGCGGTCGGGGCTAATGAAGTCGGTGCTAATGAAATCCCACCCGCTAATCCATAGCAGCACTGCATTTCCATCTCAAGTACATAATCCACGGTCCCGGCCAACACCCATGCCGGGGGGGGGGGGGGGGACCCGCAGTGTCCGCATGCAGGGGCATAGCGGCCGGTCCGCCTTTGGCCACACCACTTTTTCGCCAGGAGGGTGCCAAAAGTGCCCAGAATGCAGGATTTCAAAATTTTCCCGCGGGAGAGCCCATACCCCCCCCCCCCCCCCCCTCCTCCGGCCGGACCACCTCCAACGGAGGTGCTATGCGCCTGACATGCACCTTGGTGCTACATTCAGCTCATGGGCCGGATTTCTTTGGCAAAATGTACGTATCTTCTTCTGTGTGTTCAAGAAACCCCGCTTGATCATACATGTACATGTAGTTGCCAGTTCCCTATCATATCAGTGTCTGCTCCAGAGCCGGGCCAGAGCGACCCGTTTGCGGGGGGGGGGGGGGGTACTGGGACCCGTTTGAAAAAAGACTACAGGGTAGGTTGGGAATACAAAGTCTCAAGGAGTCCTAAAATATTTACAACTCCCTGATGTATATTGGGCATTGTACATGTGCAGTAGCCGCACTTGAACATACCCGGCTATGACCCGGTTGCAAGAGTTGTGCCAGGTACACACGTACCCGGTTGCAAGAGTTGTGCCAGGTACACGTGTAGTACCCGGTTGGTTTGAAATCCTAGAGCAGACACTGCATGTATCAATAGAAGATCTACAGCGATGACCATGCTGACACTGTTCCCAGTATTTGGAGATGATCAGGCAATCTGATCATGCAACGACTACATGTACATGTAAGTAGTGGTGTATTGTCAATGTAGGACTGGCCTCGTCTGCATGCTAACTCCGGTCTGCAGATCTGGGACAGTGGAACAATTTTTTTTAAATTGTTCCTTAAAAAAGCTACATGTACGTCACAGCAGGCAGTCAGCTCGTGGTTAAGATGACATGTACACACACCTACCATGATTCTCATAAACGTACAGGCACTTCGGAGTACAGTCCAGGACAACGAAGAGGTCCGCGGCGCTCCACACGTGCACAGACTCAGCTGCCTCACTGCAGATGCTGGGGAATATGTAACAAATATTGACTGAGTACGAGGTCAATATAGGAAAAAAAACAACAACAAAAAGACCGAGGTAAAGTCGGGGTCTTTTTGTTGGTTTTTATTTCCTAGGCTATGTTCACCTAGTACGAAGTCAATATAAGATTTATCACGGCTAGCCAAAGCATGTGTTTAATCTCTAAAAAGGAGTCAAATGTAAGCAGTCAATAGCCCGGCAGTGAAATATGCAGGAATATTTTACACAAAGGCACACAATGAAAACCTTGGCAAATTAATTCCGTTGTGACTCAGAGTTTCATGGCTGAACCAATCATCAGACAACGATAATGGAATAGGAGGCAGCGCTGGTATAATTATCTAAGTGGAGAGAGGTGTGATAATACGATAGCGAGAGGAGTAATTGCGTGAATGTATACAGGGACAGGCTATTTCAGAGGCAGATGCAGTAGGCGCAGGTCTAGCACTAACAAGTACGCGCTTAATCTCGCTCACACACCACACACACATACTAACACGCACACACATAGTAACACCCACACACATACACACATACACGCACACACTAACACACACACACACACACACACACATACACCCACCCACAACACCCTAACTTGCACGCGGGCGCACGCACACACAGACACCCACCCACCCACAACACCCTAACTCGCACACGCACAAACACACGGACACACGCATATACACACACCTATAGACACATGTCCACACGCATACACAGGCATCTGCGGTCGTATGACAAATCTAACCGCACACAAACTCCTGCAATCACGCGTCAAAAAACCCGCAGCGGTCATAGCTGTCTATGTAATAGGGGTGGCCAGCAGAAACTTGCGCTGGTGAGGGCATTTAGATACCAGCTCACTTCTCTTGTTTAGGAAGGTGGCTTTTGAAGCTTTCAGGATGTGGAACTTTTCGGTGAGGCATAGGCCACACTTCTTGCTGATGTTACTGTATGAAGGTGCTCTATCCTTGATCTCCCATCTGATGTCGAATCCGCGGTTCTCGTTTTTCAGATCCCAGATGTGCTTGGACAACTTAGTCGATGCGGCGTACTTTTCATGGCGGAAGTCCGAAGTGTGTTTGTTGTAGCGCTGCTTGAATGTGGTAGCTGTCATGCCGACGTAGGTCTTAACTTCGTTGGATGCTTCATGCGCCTCGTACACGACGTCGGAAGACTGGCAGTCACCGTTGAGGGGGCACGACGCCTTGACCCCCCCCCCCCCGACAATTGCATGGCACAACTGGCGGTCGCGAGTGAAGTTTTGCAGCATTGTGCCTGTCCCTGTATACATTCACGCGATTACTCCTCTCGCTATCGTATTATCACACCTCTCTCCACTTAGATAAGCGCTGCCTCCTATTCCTTTATCATTGTCTGATGATTGGTTCAGCCATGAAACTCTGAGTCACAGCGGAATTAATTTGCCAAGGTTTTCATTGTGTGCCTTTGTGTACGCCGCTCTGCCTGAATCAGGCATTGAGCACTCTTGGAGAACCAAAGCACATTGCCTCTGTGCAGGAATATGTTAGTATTCAAAAAGAGGACCAAAAGTTTACAAGTTACCCGTTTTGTCCAACACTACCGGTTATAAGCAGAATACTGTTGAGTCAAAAATGTGCAACAATTAGCACAAAACTGACTGATGAGATCATGACATTCAACGAAAGTTGAGTGAGTGAGTGAGTGAGGCTGGCAGAAGCGGTTGCGACAAAATGGAACAAAACTGACAAGGAGTACTGAGACATTCGGCGACCTGACACCTACATGATTGTACTGTAAAGTGGAGAAGTGTTGGAGCTAGGTGTCAGGTCGCACTCCTTGTCAGTTTTGCGCCTTGTTGTTGCACTCGCTGACTGTATAAGATCTGTGGAGAGTTGACTGTATAAGATCTGTGGACAGTTGACTGTATAAGATCTGTGGAGAGTAAAGTCATAAATCGTAGCATAATGTCCTTCTCCTTTTTCAACATTATAATAATTGGCTCAACATCCGAGTTAAACTTTGCACACCTGATGAGCCGTCATGACCTATACGGCGAAACGTACGTCGTCTGGAACTACTTGTTATTGTACATAACTAGTCCATCATACATGATAGTGGAGTTCAGTAGGATGTTGACGTTTCGGTTTGTCACAATTCATCTTCGCTTAGCTTCCCCCTTCTATGTTTATTACATAAACTTGAGCCTCCCAAGTAAGTAATTAGTTGAGTGGTATGTTGCTTTGCGTCGTCGAGTTGTAATAAGGCATGTATGAAGTCTGACTAGTTACGTCATCACCCAGTAACGTTTGGCATTCTTTGTTGACGTGATGCGTAGCTCGTGCTCTTCTTTGTTGCGCTTTCCTTCCCCTCTTGGACCTTTCCGAACCTGAGCCTTCCAAGTTGGAAGGTGGTTGATTTGCGCCTTGGAGAAGTGTTGGAGCTAGGTGTCAGGTCGCCGAATGTCTCAGTACTCCTTGTCAGTTTTGTGCCATTCTGTCGCACTCGCTGACTGTATAAGATCTGGTTCGTTGGTGGACAGTTAGTCATAACTCGTAACATTTTGTCCTTCTCCTTTTTCAACATAATAATAATTAGCTCAACATCCGAGTTGAGAATGTTAGTGCTCAACATTGTATGTATGTAATATTGACTGAGTACGAAGTCAATATGAAATAAAAGCCGACTAAAAGACCGATGCGAAGCCGAGGTCTCTTACGAGGTCCTTTATTTCCTATACTGACCAAGTACGAAGTCAATGTTCATTGTATTCGATTTATCACGACTAACCAAAGCATGTGTTCAATCCCTAAAAAGCAGTCAAATTTCAGCGGTCAATATAGCCCTAAGGAGTGAAATATGCAGGTTAGGTATAGCAACAAGTTATGGTAGTCAATACAAAGGGAGTGATAATGATTACGGTATGTTGTAGTGTATGGCCTTGGGTAAAGATGCATGTAACGAGTTACAGGATGTCAGTACGTGTTATTTCCGACATGGCACGTCAAACAATAAATTATTTGGCGTAAAACTCCAATTATTTCGACGTGAGCTGCAGGTCGACCGGGCACGTCACTCGTGTTGTCATGGTTGTTCTTCGACGCTCGATTAGGCCTTGACGGATTATGCTAATATTTTCGTGAAATTATGCTTTTCGCATTGCTGAAAAAATTGCAGAATTATGCTATTTTTATGCTAAAAGTTATCATATTATGCCGCATTATGCTCACATATGCTGCTGATGTATATGATGGTTCTGTGCAAAATACCAGGGGAATTGTTTTGTAGAGGGCGTTGCACTGTAGTAGCAAAAGTTCAACGGGGTCACCGCACCGTCCGACCTAGCTACGACCGTCACTGATTGTAGTGGACTGGACATGTTATCAAGGGAGTCGTAAACCTACGACTTCCTGATGCATCTACTTGTGCTTGTACTTGTAGAACATGACAACTGTATGGAATTTGATGTGAACAGGCGGATTATTCCAATTTATGCGATTCATATGCAATTTGCCTCGAATTATGCGATTATTCGATTTTGGTCGAAATTATGCGAAAAATTATGCTAGCATAATCCGTCAAGGCCTACGCTCGATCGATCCGCGACTACCAGTACCAGTACTAGGCAGTACTAAAGGACTTAGGCAGTAGGGCTTGAAAGTGATGACGTCAAAACGGCCAGGGAGTAGTAAGTTGACATCAGATTTCTATTTTTGGATCCACTATTGGTGTGACTTTGCCTAAGTATGCGGATGCATAGCAACCCACTCATGTCGCATGCAGGTGTGACTTTTATTTCGCCACCAGTTGTAACCCCGCTAGACCCCGGTGTAATATGCCCGAAACTTTGCCGAAAATGCTTTTG